GCACCCAAGTCCTTGCTGCAGCCGCGCTGATGTTACCCCGCCTTCATCACCCGTGCACCCGCATTGCGGCCGTGCTGGCTTTGAACCTGCGCCCACGTGGCACCTATCTGTGTCACTGCCTCACGGGGCTGCAGCCTCGGAGGAGATGGAGGTCAGCATGACAGAGGGAAACAACATGGGATCTGCCCTGTCGTCTTCCTGTTGCCCCTCCTTGTCTCCTGACTCCATCTTCATCCTCTCATTCTGCCTACATCTTCTTCCTCATCTTCATCCTTTGCCTTTATCCCACTCCCCTCACTTTGTTCCATTATCCCCTCATTATTCCATCCTTGTCCTCTTGTCCTATCCCTGTTCTGTCCCCATTCCCTCTCCTCCTCCTCATCCCCTCCCTCCATCCTCATCCTCTTCCCTGTCCCACTTATCCTGTCACAGTCCTCTGGCCACTGCCCCATCCCCTACGTTCCACCGCAGCCCCCACCAGTGCCCTCAGCCCTGTGTCCCTGCAGGAGCTGGACATGAGTGACTTTGAGGAACAGTTCAAGACCAAAGCGCAGGGCCCTGGCCTGGACATCAGCGCCCTAAAGGTGAAGGCCACACAGAAAGCCCCCAGCAAGGTCACGCTCATGGAGTCCAACAGGGCCAAGAACCTGGCCATCACACTCCGCAAAGGCGGCCGCAGCATCCAGGACATCTGCACGGCCATCGAGACGTGAGTGTCCCCCCCTCAGTGGGATGAGGTCACGCTGAGTGCTTGGGGTGGCGTGGGGCGGGCTGCGCTTTGGGGTGGTGGTGGTGGTGGGGTGCAGCCCGCTGTGCTGCAGGTACGACCAGCAGACGCTGAGCCTCGATTTTCTGGAGCTGCTGCTGCGCTTCCTGCCCACTGAGTACGAGCGGACGCTCATCGGGAAGTTCGAGCGGGAGCAGCAGCCTGAGGAGGAGCTCTCGGAGGAGGACCAGTTCATGATCCGCTTCAGCAAGATCCCGCGCCTGGCCGAGCGCATGAACGTCATGATCTTCCTGGGCAACTTCAGCGACACGGCCCAGCTGCTCATGCCGGTGTGTGGGGCTGCGGGCGGCGCTGGGGGGGCTGCGAGGAGGCGGCATCCTGCAGTGAGGCTCACGCGCTTCCCTTCCACCCACAGCAACTCAACGCCATCATCGCCGCCTCCATGTCCCTCAAGTCCTCCAGCAAACTGCGCAACATCCTCGAGGTGAGGGGCGTGAGGGGCAGCCCCAGTGGGGGACACTGGGAGCATGGGGGGCTGCTGGGGTGCGATGCCGACCTGCCTGGGGTGTCTCCTCAGATCGTCCTGGCCTTTGGGAACTACATGAACAGCAGCAAGCGTGGAGCTGCCTACGGCTTCCGCCTGCAGAGCCTCGATGCGGTACGTTGGGTGCAGGTCTGGTGTGTGCAGGCAGTGTCACTGCACGGGGACACACTGTGGGAGCAGAGGGAGCAACAGTGACCTGTTGTGGGTGGGGGAACATGGCAGGCAGCCGTGGGGTGGAAGGGTGTGGGGAGCAGCTGTAGGGATGAAGGGCCTGGGGAGCAGCTGTAGGGTTGGAGAGAGACAGAGCTGTGGGGACAGACAGACACTAGCTGTGGGGACAGAGGGATACATTGGAGCAGGTATGGAGACGGAGGGAGGTGGGGACTGGCTGTGGGGTTTGGAGGGGTGTGAGAACTAACCATGGGGTTTGGAGGGATATAGAGAGCAGCTGTGGGGATGGAGGGGCACAAGGAGCAGGTGAGGAGATGGAAGGGTGTTTGTGCAGAGAAGGACATGGGAACTAGCTATGAGGAATGAGGGCTGCCCCAAGCAGGGGGCATTGGGCAGTGGGATGCAGGCAAGGCTAACACTGCTCTCTCTCAGCTGCTGGAGATGAAATCGACAGACCGTAAGCAGACACTGCTGCATTACCTGGTGCGGGTGATCACAGAGAAGTACCCCGAGCTGACCGGCTTCCACACCGAGCTGCATTTCCTTGACAAGGCGGGCACAGGTAGCACCTGTGGGCATGGGGCTGGGGGCCGTGGCGGGTGCAGCCCCACCTGGGGACCGTCTGAGCCCACCCTGACCCTGGAGCTGGTTGCTGACTGCCCTCCCCGCAGTGTCCCTGGACGGCGTGTTGCAGGACGTGCGGAGCCTGCAGCAGGGCATGGAGCTCACCCGCAAGGAGTTCATGCGGCAGGACGACAGCCTCGTGCTCAAGGAGTTCCTCAAGGCCAACACGGAGCTGATGGAGAAGCTGCAGGCCGACAGCAAAACTGCCAAGGTGGGTGTTGGGCCCCTAGTCCTGTGTGGGGATGCTACGGGGCGCTCTCTGCTCGCGCCTGTGCCCCAAGGGAAAGGCTGTGGGAGGGCTGCTGCCAGCTCCCAGCCCCCATATCTCTGCCTCTGCTCACAGGAGGCCTATGAGTCGGCCGTGGAATACTTTGGGGAGAATCCCAAGACCAGTCCCCCTACTACTTTCTTCCCCATGTTCATGCGCTTCATCAGAGCCTACAAGGTAGGAGGGGATGGAGGTGTCCTGTTCCTGGGGGTTGGGAGGGGACAAAGCCACAAGTGAGGCTGGGGGCTCGCCAGCCACATGAACCCCGGCGCTTAGAGTCATCCTTTGAGGCAGCTGCAGATCCTGGCTCCCTGAAGGTGCCAGGCTGGGCTGCTGGGGACCACCAAGGAGAGGGAGGAGGGCACTGTGCTCCCCCAGACCTGCAGCAGCCCCCAGCTCAGCGGGCCCTTCCTGTGCCTCTCCCCAGAAAGCAGAGCAGGACATCGAGCTGTGGAAGAAACAAGAGGCTGCGGCCAAGGAGGCAGAGTCCGGCCGCCCTGGCAGTGAGGAGCAGCTCGACCTGAAGGTACCTGGTGCTGGGACGGGGCCTCGCAGCATCGCTGCCCCAGCAAACCCCATGCAGCCACAGTCAGGAGGCAGCAGCCTGGATCTGTCTGTGCCCTCGTGGGGTGGCCTTGCTGCACCCAGGACACACTGCCTCTGGGAGAGAGCAAAAGGCTTCTTTCAGCTGGGCTGGGGGAGATGGGCAGCACAGGGACACACTGCTCACTCTGCTGTCCCCTCTGCAGTCACCATTCCAGAAAGCCAAGCGGCAGCAGATGGACATGATTGCTGAGCTGAAGAAGAAGCAGATGGTGAAGGAGCCGCTCATTTATGAAGGCAAAGACGGGGCCATCGAGGACATTATTTCAGGTGAGTGGCTGGGCATGCCTCCTGCAGCCATGCCTGGGGCTCAGACTGTGCCAGCACAGGGCCCTGGGGGCAGGACATTGGGTGGGGCCATGGCTCATCACACAGTGGTGTTCCGGGCCGGGCCCCCAGCTCTGCAGTCTGTGGCACAACAGGGACAGTCCTGGGGATATGGGGGTGTCAGCAAGGAGCAGAGCCCAGACCCACCTTCAGCGCCTTCCTGTCGCACGCAGCGAGGCTGCCAACCTCTCTGCCCTGTCTCACGGCTCTTCCTCCTCTTCTGCTCCTTCCTCCTTCCCTCCTTCCTCCTCCTTGCTGTCTGGATTGCTGTGCTCAGCTCTGAAAACTGTTCCTTTCACGGCCCGGACGGGCAAGCGCTCGTCCCGGCTCTTCTGCGATGTGAGCTTCAGCGAGGAGAGTCCCCTGTAGCGGCTGCCTGTAGGTAACGGGCAGGGGGTGCGGGGAGGGGGCTGCAGCACGGCGGATCTCCAGCGCTGGGCGCAGGCAGGGCAGGGGAGCGGGGCGCACACAGCTTGGTCCTGGCTCCTCTCCTTCCCCTGTGTGCTGCTGGTTGCGCTTCTGAGCATCCTCGTAGCCGGGGGGCGAGGGAAGTTCCATCCCGCAGCTGTGGGTAGCAGTGGGGCAGGCAGGACACGGCAGGCTGCGGCTCACTGCCGCTCTGCGCTTTCTCCCGCTGCAGATCTGCGGAACAACCCGTACCGGCGCGCAGATAAGGCCCGCGGCAGCGCCAAGAAGCGGGCGGTGGGGCAGAGCCTGCAGGCCACGCCGGACATCTCGCTGTGAGGGGCACCGGGGCCCGGGATGGCACGGGGCGGGGAGCGGTGCCCACGCTCAGTGCCGGCCTCCCCACTGCCCTGCACACCTTCGGGTCGGCCCCAGGGCTGCCCCAGCGCTTGCTTAGTGATGCCGCTGAGCTCTTCTCCCTGTGGGCGGAGTGGGGAGCGATGGGAGCCCCTGCCCAGGGCTGCTTTGTTGCACTCCGGGCCTCGGGGGCAGCCCTGCACACCGCTGTGCCCCTTCAGCTTGCTGGTGCCTTTGACCTCCTGCTGCTGGAGAGGAGGAGGAGGGCTGCCAGACGGGGCTGCAGCGCTGCTGGTGCCCCTTTCGTCCCTGCGGAGCCCTTTGACACCGCGTTCTCCTCCGCCGCAGAGCCGGGCGGGCACAGCTGCGCCTCCTCTCCAGCACGGAGCTGCTGCAAACATCCCACCCTGGGCACGAGCCCCGGGAGCTGGCAGGGGTGCTATTTTACACTCACTTTCTACGTCTTCCTTAACATCTCTGCGCTGAGGGAGCAGGGCCTGGCGCTGCCACGGGTTCCCACCGGCTGAGCGGCGCCGGCCCGCGGCACCCAGCCCTGCTGCTGCTGCTCACAGCCGTGCCCCACGCCGCTCAGCTGCCCTCCGCTCCCTTCCCCACGGCCGCTGCCCACATCCTGGCTCCCCAGGAAAGCCGCAGGCAGCGCAGCTCCCCGCTGTAACTACGCTGCTCAGCGCCACGCGCCGCTCCGAGGGAGGGATGGGAAACGAATGTGTAACTTATAAATGCCTTTAAGCCAGAATGTAAAACATTAACTGCTCATTTGTATACATTATTATTTTTATATACCGAGGGCCTGTTAAAGCAGAACTGGTAATAAAGCGACCCCGAGGGTGAAGCGGTGTCTGCGGGACGGGCTGAGCTGTGCTGGGAGCGCAGCCGTGCTCCATCACAGCGCCGGCCGCAGCGCCCCCTCCTCGCTCTCTGGGACGGCACACCAATGAAAATCAGTAGTCTGCCTTTCTTTTCTTCATCCCCGGCTTTTATTTTTTTCCCCCATGAAGCTGCAGGTGAAACGTTGGTTTCCAGAAGCGGCAGCTTGATAAAGTGTCACACGTGCCGTAGGACCAGCGCTGCCCTCAGCCCCGCGCCGCTGTGCCAAAGTGGGTTTTCCAAGGGCTGCAGGAAGGATCTATGTGACAACAGCACCGTGGGCTGCTGCTCTGCTGGGCTGAGGTCGGGCTGACAGCCCGCGTTCTGATGCACGGCTTCAAGCAGACGTTAGCACAGACAACAAAAACCTTCCCTGAGTGTCAGCACCGCGCAGCCCTCCTGGAAGTGGCGTTTTTCAGCCTGCCACAGCAAAACCAACCACAGCAACAGGAAGGTGGGCTGGCAGCAGGAGAGAAGAGAGCCCGCGGGGCAGGCAGCACAGCCTTAAAGCTGCATGGATCAGCCCCTGCTTGGGCACAGTACGAAAACACCGCTGCTTTGTGCCGGGGGCTGCTGCAGAACAGCACAGGGTTTGGGGAAAGGAGCAGGACGGAGGGGTGGCAGTGCTGTGTGGGGACAGGAGGACGCCCACAAAGCCCCCATCCCAGCTTCACGCCAGACTGCTGTGCACCCGCAGCCCTCAGAGCAGCATTAATGCTGTAGGTGAAGTGTAAAGCTCTGCAGTCTGTGCTCAGAAATGCGTCAGTGGGATGCTTCCTCCAGCTGGGAGCCCATTTCAGACAGTGGATTAAGTGCTTCAGAACGAAAAAGTGCTATAAGAAATTATACCCACAGGGGGGACGGGTTTAAGTTTTCTTCAAGAGTTCCACTTTCCTACTGCATCACAGCTGTACGGTTCTGGTTAAGGACAACACTGCCACGTGTGGTGGGAGCCAAGGAGAGCAGTTATGGGGCACTGCTCCTCAAAGCAGAGGTCCAGAGCTGAACTTTTTTGAGCTGTTTTAAGTGAATTTCCCTTCAATGGCCCCACCTCGCTGTGTCTCCCAGACAGCTCGGATTGGGCCCACCTGGTACCAAAAGGAGAGCAGCACCTGCCCACCCAAACTGAGCACACGCAGTTTCAATATACTACAAAAAAGAAATACACAAATCAGTAAAAAAGTTCACCAGAAATTAAGGCACAAAGCGCCCATCTGCTGGCCCAGTCCACGCCACGAGGAGTGGGTGAGGAGGAGCTGAATCAGGGCTGAATCCACGACTGAATGTGGGAGTGAGAGAGGAGATGGAACCTGGTGGCAGAATGCAGTTGGTCGGGGCTGACATCCTCTGCCCCCCCCTGCAGGGGAGCTGTGGGGCTGCAGGACGTGGCTCTGCCTGCCCAGGCTGTGCTCCTCCGGCCCCAGCTCCTACGGCAGGAGGAGACACGAAGATGAGAGCTGCAAGCAAATCTCTTTCTGGAAACAAAGCTCTTTTGTGATTCAGAAAGGAAACGTCTGCGTGGAAGGTGAAACCCAGAACCCAGGCAGTTACTGCTGTGTCTTCCCCGTGCGAAAGGCTCGAGGCAGCGATGCTGCCGCCCACAGCCTGCAGCCATGTTCTGGCTTTCCTCAGCCCGGAGGACACCGGCCTGCTCCCCTGGGCACCGCCAGCCGCTCCGAAAACACTCAGCCTCCTTCCAGCCCAGGAACAACCGGCTTCCCTTGGCTGAGCGACAGGAGCTCTCATCCAGTCTCCACGTCCTCCTGAAAAGGACAATCGCATTTCTCTGAAGAGCAGGAATCTCCATCTCCCATTCTCAAGCTCAATTAGCACACCCAAAACAAGCACTGCCCACTGTTCTGGGGAACATCTACGCTTCAGGACACGTCCTGAACAGGGCTGGAACAGCAGCGAGGTGAGAGCACCGTGCTGAGCTGCTATCCTACTTCAGCACCAGCCTCCAGCGCGCGGTGCTCCATGGCAGGGGTGCTCGGAAGCTTTTGCAATTCCGCATTTCAGCAAGGTGAAAACCTCCCGCACAGGAGCGGCCTCACGGCCTGTCCTCCAGCTGACCGTGTTTGACTCTCCACGCCCAGCTGACGCTGCAGTCCGGGGCCAGGGTGCACTGCAGCTCAATCCCCGAGTCGGGGACTTCCATGTCGTAGTGAATGGGGTGGCCTTCCTTCGTCACCAGGCTGAAGGCGGGGACGGGGATCTGTGGAGCAGAGCAAACAGAGCTGAGCAGCATGCTGAGCCCTGCTCAGAACAGAACGTCCCTGAGCAAAGCATCACAGCCCCAGGAACACCGCAGCGGAGAGGTGCTGTTAAAGATGGAGCTCAACTACGATTCATGCAGTGGTTGTCATTCAGAAAATACCTTTTCCTATCAACAAGCACTGAAATCATTTTACTAAGTGCATCGTTAGGGTCCCTGGTTCACTGTTTTAAGGCGTTAGGAGGCTGCAGGACAGAAGAGATGGCTTGAACAAAAAACTGCAATAGCTCTGGCCCTGTGCCTCACCTGGCTGCTTATCCCAGTGGCAATGTCTCCCACCTTTGTCCTGTGGAAATCCCTGATGTGTAAATTTTCTCCACTTAGCAACTGGATCTGGATTTTCACTCCTGAAAGACACAAGAAGTCCTCAGCTCCTGCTGCGGGCACAGCAGCTTCACAGTCCCACACAGAAGCACTGACTAACGAGGCACAGCCATCGAAGGTGCTCCCTTCTGTCAGCAGGGATTTTGTTCAGGTAGGTCCTGGCACAAAGGATTGCTGGAGACAAAGGTGACTGACAGAGCAGAGCTGTGCTTAGCGAGAAAGCAGCTGAGGACAATGCTGATTTGCCCAGTGTGGATTGCTCTGTAGAAAGGAATGGTTATGCAGCACCTATTCCTGCACACAGCAGCTGCATGAGGCATAAAGCTGAATCAGCCTCGGTGGGTTTGGGAGCGTCTGTGGCCTTCAGTTGGCCATATGGACTGGAGTGCCCCCCACCCACCTGCAGGGAGCATCATGGCCCTGTGGCAGCCCAGACCCCCATAACACAGCAGCTGAGGGCCCAGGGACAACGCCGGGCAGTGAGAAAGCTGTATGTGACTGCCTGTGCTGGCTGCAGGAAGGGGGGCTCACCATTGAAGCAGCTGGGGGTGTCCGTGTGGCGGCCGCGGCTCAGCACGTTGTTCCAGCTGAAGCTCTGTCCGTCTGTCTGGCTGCTCCAGGAATGGATGCCGGAGCTCATGGTGTCCCGCAGGCTGAGGGAAGCCTTCATGGAGTTCTGTGGGAGGAAGCGTGAGGCCATCAGAGGCTCTCAAAGAAATGGAGCTCCTGTGGGACAGCAAGCATGGGAGCAGCCCCGGGGAACAAAGCAGAAACCCGTCGGGGCGGGCCTTGAGTTGTTCAGCGCTCACCCACCAGCCAGGAAGGACAGACAGCAGCACTGTGCAGATGTAAACAGCTATTTTCAATTGTCAAACTCTTCGGCTGAAGAGTTGGATGGGAAAAAAAAGGGGTTTTCACCACACCCACAGCACAATAAAGCATCAGATAAATCTAATTTCATTAAGAGATAACGCACAGGAAAAGCAGCAGCTGCGCTGCTTAGAAGAGCCTGCGTTATCTGAGAGTCAGGGGAGGTCAGTGTGACAACAGCAGCGTGTTGGTAAGCACCAGGTCAGCTGCTGGGGGTTGGTGTGGTGCAAAGGAAACAGAGAAGCAGAGCTGCGTCCCACAGTGCTCTGCTTGGCTTTGGAAATGACGATCGAAGGGCACACAGTCAAATCACACCCATCCCTGGCTCAATAAGGCTCAGTCAGGTGGTTTTTTTACTGGTATTCCCTACCTTGCACACAGCAGGGTTAAAGCAAACCAAGCTAATGAAGCTTGTTGTTAAGTAGATTGTAGCATCACTGGGTGTAGGTTAGCAGAGCCTGGCCCCCATTGCTGCTCACCTTCTCACTGGCGTCTGACACAAATGGGCTGTCAATGCTGAGACACGAAAGCATTTGTTCCTGCTCTTCCAGTGAGTACGGCTGAGAAAGGCTGTTCAGAAACAGCTCTGCAAGCAGACAGGAAAAGAAAACATCTCCAGTGATTCTTTTCACTCCTTCCTGCTCCAATCCCAGATGCTTACAGTGAATACCCAGAGTGTCTTCAGCACTACAGAGCAAACACTGACCCCAGTGTACATGGAACACCCCACACAGCTCCTCTGCGCGTGGCAGCTACTGCTGCTGCCTGAGAACTGAGCCAGGACAGGCAGGCTGAGCTGAGCACCCATTCCATGCTCGTACCTATTTCCAGCTGCTGGAGCTCCTGTTCAGAAATGGTGGTTGCTCTCTCCGTATGGCTACAGCTCTTTAAGGGGAGGGGAGTGGAGGAGAGAGGAGGAGGATCCCAGGTCCTGGACAGATCCCTGCTCTCATTCCAGCGGGTTCCCTCGCCCTGCCTCACTCGCTCCAGGGCTGGTGGTGGCACAGGGCTGGCACAGCAGCCTCGGGCTGCAGGTTCTGGGTCAGGAGTGGCCGAAGTGGGGCTCACTGCTGGGGGCAGGGATGTCTGGGGGTTGTTCTCCTTGTGCAGTGCCAAACGCCTGGGCTCTCTGTATTCGCCTTTCCAGGGGCTTGTCACACCTCCCACTACAAAAACAGAGAACACACAAATGTTGTCATAGAGGCAAAGGCTTCCTGTTACTGCAGGAGTTTCTGAACTCTCTCTTGCTGCGAAATGCCCAGATTTTTCAGAAGACAAAACCAGACGAAGCCCACAAGCTCTTGGTGTGCTGCAGCGGGGCTGACAGAAATTATGGGTTGTCTCAGAGGGAGGGGAGGGCCACAAGAACGAGTTACAGCTGAGGATGCTGCAGCTCTGCTCCCAGCTTTGCTGCACAGCAGGCTCCAGGCAGCAGACACACTGAACCCAGCGCACACCTTCACAAGTGTGCGTGAAGCACGGCATCATCTGCTTCATGCAGACGAGGAAAAGTGCGACAGCACACAGGAAATCACAGCGTACTTGGGGTCCCTCTGGGGGAATCTCAATCTCTTCCAATGCAGGGAAAAGCTCTCAACCCAAAGCACACATCAGTGCTGAAGCGCAAGCGATGCTCTGAGCTGAAAGCAGAACGCGTTGCAAAATGCAGCGCTGCTCCCCAGAGGAACAGTGGCAGTGCTGAGCGCCCACTGTGCCAGCGTGGGAGAGGAGCTGGAGGTGTGGCACCCTGCTACCTTCTTGCAGCGCAGTGCTGGCCTTGGTCCTCAGCTCAGATGCAGACGCCCTGTGCACAGGCTCTTTCTCCAGCCCCATTTTAATGATCTCAGCAGTGAGGGGGTTGCAGGAAGGTGGAATTTCCCTGAGAGGCGGCGGCTCCTTCGCGATCTGCACAGCAAACAGGAAGCGAAAGAGGTTAAACCAGAGAAGCTTCATTTGATTGCAAGAAAGGTTCTTCCCATCCTGAACGTGCTCCCAACTGTAACGACAGCATTACACGAGGACCCGAGCCGTAATTTGCCTACAGCTGAGCAGCTGGAGGCCACACCCGAGCCACGAGCACCATAGGAAAGAAGCAGCCCCAGTCCTTGTAACACGCAGCAGTGCGCAGCAGTGAGAAATGCCCGCCCTGCAGCACGGCTGCTCTCACCTCAGAGAGCTCCTGGCAGGGCGGCTGTGTGGCTGCGCTGAGATACGACAGGCTGAGGTGCCTTTTGCTGGAGCTCGGAGTGGCTTACCTTCAGACAAAGGGGGTGGTTGTAATACTGCGTCCAGGGGTGGCACCCGTTCAGCATGTGCAGCATCATGCAGCAGCTGCTCCACACGTCCACCTTGGAGTCGCAGCGCTTCCCCAGGACCACCTCTGGAGCCATGTGCGTCTCTGTGCCAGGCACGTAGTTCCCTATCAGCATTGAGATGAGAGCTCACTGTGTGCCAACCAGACGGCTGTCCCACTGCTGGAAGATGAGGCAGCCTCCCTGGCTCTTCAGTTAAGTGAGAGAGGAGTCAGCTTCACCCCACAGCAGCACCCAAAGCTCCACGCCCCAACAGGCCTCACCCATTGGGCAACGTATTAATTTGCCTTTCCCAGGGCACAAGGGAGGGGAACTGTAACCCTCCATTGGTGAACACAGCATTAGGAAACACGTCCTCTTCTTTCACCAATCCACTGCCCAGAAATCAGGGAGGAATTCTGCCTTTGGTGGAGGTTGGGATTTAATGAGGCTACAGGAGCAGCCAGTTAGATATTAAAGTTTGGACATGGTTTCTCACAGGGAGGAAGCAGGAATGTAGCATGAAATACACAACACCCCTCCAGATTGGAAGAGAAGGACCAGCTTCCAAACCTACATTCATTTCAGCTGCCAGTAGCACACATCACAGTAGAATTAATAAACCTATGAAAAAGTTACATCTGGAAAATACGGTAGCTTGAAAATGGTCCATATATAAATGTTCTGAAAGAGTCAGTAGAGCAATTCTGTACAATAACAGAGAAAAGCAGAGAAGCCTTACCTGTGACCAAGCACTTCCCCAGGCCGTCGGGATGGAGGTGAGCAGAGTGACCAAAATCACACAGCAGAGCCCTGCTCCCATCATCAGACAAAAGCACGTTTTCCGCTGCCAACGAGAGGTGCTGAATTCATCAGTGCCCTTTGTGTGGGGTCACCCAGAGGGAAACAAAGCCCCAAGCCCACAGAGCGACTTTATTAATAAGTCCACATTAAGGTCTGTTACTCCTATGGAGTCTCACTGCACACCACCAGAGCCATCCTGGCTGTGTGTCAGAGCTGCCCATCCCCACACCCGGACACCAGAAAGGAAGGGGTGACAAATCCCATCGATACGCCCAACTGCTTTGGACTAAGCCTAGCTCCAATCCCAAAGGCAGAGCTGAAGATCTCATCCAATGTCCTTTTGTCCCTCAGTAACCCCCAGCCGTGTGCTCCTGGTAAGAAGGGAAGGCCACGACCCCGTCAGCAGCATCCTACCTTTCACATCTCCATGGAGGATGTTCTGAGCGTGGAGGTACTCCAGACCTTCCAGTGCCTGCCCCAGGTAACTGAGGGCTCTGTCCTCCGGCAGGCAGCCGCTCTGCTTAATTAGCTGACCCAGTGATCCACCTGGAAGGGAACACAGAGTCTGTGTTAATTCAGCTGAGAAGAGTTCAACAGAATCATCAGCACTGTGACAGGGAAAGGAGAACTGCTGGCTCTGACAGCCCTTATCCCCCCCACACACCCGGATCCATTCCCTTTGTTTATTCCCAGAGGTCTTACAGCACATGGACACAGTGCCTTCCACAAAGCCCATTGCTCTGCATCAATTTCACAGTGTTGTTCTGCACTAAAAGCAACCACTGTGTGATCAGACTCATGCTGCAAGTCCCTGAGCTGCGCTTACAGAGTGGTGAGGTGCTGGAACAGCTGCCCAGAGAGGCTGTGGATGCCCCATCCATCCCTGGAGGTGTTCAAGGCCAGGTTGGATGGGGCCCTGGGCAGCCTGGGCTGGCATTAAATGAGGAGGTTGGTGGCCCTGCATGTGGCAGGGGGTTGGAGACTCATCATCCTTGAGGTCCCTTCCAACTCTGGCCATTCTGTGATTCTGGCTGCAGGAGGAGCCTTGGGTGACAGAGGAGCACCCAGGTTTGTCTATACAGAGCGCTCTGCCATCAGGCAACACGCACAAATAAACAGCACCAAAACCAGAAAGGAGCAGCTCTGTGTTTCGGTGAGATGTGCAGCTGGAACGGAGTGAGGCTGGGCTGGAAACGCTGCCCAGGAACAGCAGCAGCAGCCGCACACCGCAGGACAGCATGCAGCTCACAGGTACAGGCCTGGAGCCCGAGAATTAATAACGCAGAGTGGGGCAGGGAGGAGAGATCCGTGTCACTGCGCTGCACCGTTCCTTTCTCACCCTCCATCAGCTTCATGAAGATGGTCACCCAAGGTCCCTCCTTGACGGCGCCGTACAACGGCACAACTTTCGGGCTCGTTATCGCCGCGCACGTCGTTAACTCCTCTGCACGGAAGTGTTCGACTTGCACCTGGAGGAACAAAGGGGCGGATCTGGTGACACTCGTCACGCCTTTCTGCGTGCTGTAGCTACGTTTGTTTCTATCCAGCCAAAAAATGGAACGGTTAAAGGAAGCCTGGATGAGCCTCACCTCCTGCCTGCCTCCATGGGGCAGCCATGGCACCGCGACCAACGCAACGAGCGAACATTTGCAGATGGATTTTCACACGTTACACTTTTGCATTCAATACAAACCCCCTCTCCCATCCCC